AGAGGAGTTCCTCATGGCTGAAAGGTTAAAAAAAATTATGCCTATAACTGAAGTCCCAGTGGGTGGTGGTGGAGTGGACTGCATTGTGCTGAGTGTTCTTAGTGTTTTCACCCCCTAGTGTATGTCAATGGGGGGCCAAAATGCAAGGGACATTTGTAAATGTGAAGCAGTCCAGTGCCTCACCTCCTGTGACTTCAGTAGTGAGAAGAATTTTTGGCAGAGCTGTTGTATTGCATTAGATTTCTTATCAAGTGGCCAGTGAGTGTATTTCTGTGTTTTTCATACAACGCAGATTAGAACAGCTTAGTCTGTTTAAATAAGATAAGGCCAGCAGCCTCGTAGGGAGGCGAGGACGCTGTTGGGAAAACATCTTGTGCTATCTCTGAGTTGTCTGATTAAGTTGTTGTTCAACTGGAATGCAAACAGCTGGCGTCCAGCGCAGACAAAAATCAAGCATTTGTTCCCAGTTTCCACAAAAATGTGAACAGGATTGTGCTGTCATTGTGGCGTTGGACCATTTCTGCTTCCCCAAGTCACAACTGTAGTGAGATTATTATGTGTTACATGAATGTGTCTGAGGCTCAGTGACATGGATCAGACTATGATGATAAATGACTGGGTCATAGCATCTCTAACATGGCAGAAGTTATTGGGTGTTCATGGATATGCAGTGATTACCAGAAGTGTCCAGGGAAGAACAACCAGTGAACAGGAGACAGATTGATGCCCCAAAACTCCCTGATGGGTCAGAGTGTCTATGTTGACTCAGCTCCACCACTGAAAGCTTCTGCAGCGTCAGAAGTGGATCATGGAGCAGTGAGGAAGGTGTCCTGGTGTCCTGGTCCACTGAATTTTCTATCATGTGGACGGCTGGGTGCATCGAAGAGATTGCAGTGGAGGCAGCGACGCTCTGGGCGACGCTCTGCATTCATGTGAATGTTACTTTATAACCTGAACATTGCTGCAGACCACGTCCATGACTCTGTCCCCGGTTCACCTGTTCTCCTTCTTTGGACACTTCTAGTTAACCTCCGAATACCAACGACTCCAGGAGGTGCTCTGATGCAGTCGCCTGCCGTCACAGTTTGTAAAAGTCTCTCAGATTTTCCTCCTTCAACATCAACTTAGTCTGACACGTCAACAAGCGCTATATAAATCTGATCAATTATTATTATTAACTTCAAGAACTACCTGTTCTCCTGCTACCTGATCTCCTGGTACCCACTGACCGGCGCCATGGTAACCAGAAAATCAGTGTTTCAGTGGTTCTAATGTCGCTGATCCACGTCATGTGTGAAAAGCACAACAAATGACAGACCTGCTAGGCAGATAGATCAGTTCTGAACTAAATGCAGTCAGCAAAGCAAAATAGATGACTAGTTTACCTCAGTGGTGAGCTCCAGAAGTATGAGTAACTACAATGAGTGTATTTTTGCGGTTTGGGGAAGCAGAAATGGTCAAACATGACAAAGAAGATCCATGTTTGTGGAGGATGGGAAGTAATGTGCTGTTTTTGTTGTGCTGGTCGTAAACCCCGGCATGTTTTCTACAAAATAGAAAACTGCTAAAACCAAATCCATCGATATTGGAACTGGTTCTGGTTTGGTGAAGCAATGATCGTAAAATGTCCTGAAGACAGTCCACTTCTGAGAGCAAGCTCGTGGGAACTTGGAATACGTTTTTAATTTCCAATGAAAGAAAGAATTTACGTCTGGAAATAAATCAGACGGTAAAAAGCAATAATGGAGCTACAGTTGTGTTTTTATCACTTAGCCACAAAGACAACTTCAAATCCAGACGTCATATTTTTTCAGGCTGCACTAAATGCTCAGTTTACTCTTTTGTAATCCTAATTGAATATTTTGTTTTTGCCTGTTTATGGAACTCCACACTTCACAAACCTTCCATTAACCTCACTCCTCGTTATATTTTTACTTTCTACACGGATGGCGGTTATTCCTGCGCTTTAATGTGTCGCTGCTGCTTGGAGCGGAGAGGCGTGAATTATTATTACAAACACATTTAGCCGCTCACAGCTTCTGTTGCTCAGCAGCTACAAACCTCCAAATGCGGACAGCAGATGGTGCGTTAATTTGAAAATGTCTCTGTGCGGTGTTTAAATATAACTGCGTGTGACCCCAAAATAACTGTAGATGATGGTGAAGCAATAAACCGAGAGAAGACGAGTGGAAAGTGTTTTAAATTCATGATCAGAGCGTACTGGAGGGAGGACGAGATGAGAGGCTGTGAAGTTACTGAAGAAATGAGCTCCCAGCCTATGAGAGGGAAGACCGGGTGGCAATCTGCCCGAGGATCTTAAGTGGGAAACTTATTATTTCTCTCCAATGAATTTCAGCCCTTAACAAGTCTGAAGGTTACTGTTGGTACAGTACAGCGAACATTTATCTGCCCAGTTTGAGCTCATTTTACAGACACTGGCTGTGTTTTGCTCCGAGCTTTAATCTGTGTGATGAATGAGAGTTTCAGCGTTCGGCCCTAAAAGAGGCGATTTTCATTTGACAGCAGCGGAACGAGGCTGAAAGGAGCAGCTCTGACTGACACGTCTTCAGAAAAGCGCTGCTGCCGTCTGAGCAATGTTTCTATCTTGAAATTCAATCAGAGCAGGGTCATCGCAGCTCAAACCGTCACATTTTTATGTCTTAAAATGTGGACGTTTAAAATGAAAATTGGCAAAGTTTAGATTGATAGATCAAGTACTTTCTGAGATCAAAATGTTGTTAAAAATTGCTTTCAGCAGGTCGTCATGAAAAGTCCATCTTGGAGCACATTTACAAAAACACGGATAGTTAGGTGAAGACGACGTGATGTTTTCTGAACCACAGCAGCATCTCACAATAACACAAAACACACACAATACTTTCTATGTGAAATACTTCTCCAACCTAAACAGTGAGGTCCGAAAATATTATTAATTTCTTAGTTATATTTGGAGAAGGGGCTGCAAGGTGGTGCAGTTGGTAGCACTGTTGCCTCGCAGCAAGAAGGTCGCCGGTTCGCGTCCCGGTGAGGACACCCGGGATCTTTCTGCGTGGAGTCTCCATGTTCTCCCCGTGCAGCGTGGGTTCTCTCCGGGTTCTCCGGCTTCCTCCCACAGTCCAGAAACATGCTGAGGTTAATTGGTGATTGTAAATTGTCCGTAGGTGTGAATGTGAGTGTGCTTGGTTGTCTGTCTCTAAGTGTAGCCCTGTGATAGACTGGTTACCTGTCCAGGTGAACCTGCCTTCACCCTGAGTCAGCTGGGATAGGCTCCAGCCCCCCATGACCCTAGTGAGGATAAAGCGATGTATAGATAATGGATGGATGGATATTTGGAGAACCACTTTCAAACTCCAGAACTCAGTTCTATTGGATCGGACTACCTACTAACATTTCTGTTTTAGTGGTAGAACATGCCACCTGCTCAGTCAGTTATTAAAATTAAACCTAAATAACTTTCACTTATGTTTTGTGACCAAGTGTTTAATGTTAAACAGTATTTATTTTGTATTGTTTTTCTATTATTGTCACATGCAGCTACATACGGTTCAGGAAATATCACTAGTTGACTAGATCACTAGTCTGCATCATCATTTTTGTTTGTTAATGTGCTCAAAATGACGGCTTAATTGTTTTTTTGTAATATTTAAACTCAGAGATTATTTTATCTACTTGTCCATTGTTCTGGATTCTGAATCAATGACATGATGAGAAACAACAGTGGACATTTCAGGCATTTATTTTTAATAGTCGCTGAAAATGGGTTCACAGGCGATCTTTGAAAGAATCTTTATCTCGAAAGGAATTTGATATACAAGATAAAACTTCCCAGAACTCATTTGAAATACCGATATTTTCTGTTCACATA